TACGTTATGTAAGGAGTAGTTAGGCATTGAGTAAGGTTTCTCAATTAAAGCCAATAAGTATCATAACAATTTATTTTCTTACAAAATTTAATTGCATCACAAAGGAAGGAAAAGTATAGTTAACCTTTGATCCCCATTACATGATAAATACATCCAATTTTATGACACTTAATTCTATAAGCAATATTTGGCTTGAAAAGTTTTCATAAATCTCAATACTTATCTGCCTAACAGTCTACCTTACAAAATAATTTAATGATTATTTGATACAAAATATCTTAAGCCAAGGCTTGCTCCACATAGAAATGAATTACAATTATGTGAGCTAAATAAGCATATGCAACCTAGTAAGTAGGCCCTAATTGTCAGTTACTTCACTTAACTGTAAATGCTGATATTTCCATATCTCTATCTCATGATATCATCTAGTTCAGTTAATTAGCTGTTTTCTATAAATTAAAATAAATACTGTATTGCCTTGCAGATCTTTAAATACTAACACATTTGAAAAGCAAACATTACTCAAGAATGACAATTCATATTACTGTTTTTAAATATTATATATTGCTTAACCATTTGTGAATTGATATGACAAAATTGCTGAAAGAAATTCACAATGTTGTAAGCTTCGCAATGTTGGTAACGGGGAAGATTTAAACATTTTATTTAGGCTACGTAAGTTTACTAAATTTTTACGTTTTAGTGTTAAACTGATATCACAGAAAACGTACTACTATAACCCAGAATGCCAACCGCATAGTATAAAGCATTAAGCGGTTTGAGAGAGCTTTGCCTGTCAATCCGTAGGCAGCGCCACCAGCGTTGCTATGCTATTGCATGGCAACGCTGGTGGCGCTGCCTACGGATTGACAGGCGAAGCTCTCTCAAACCGCTTAATGCTTTTTACCATGCGGTTGGCATTCTGGGTTATAGTAGTACGTTTTCTGTGCTGATATTGATAACTTCTTTTAGTTGAAGAGGTTTGCGAGGTAAACTGTTGTGAAAAGAAGTCAAGCAAACTCTTGCACCATCATGATTCGGCAGAAGCAGAGCTAAGCCATAAACAGTTTATATTACATACATTTAATTTATTTTTGATAAGCTCAAAGTATAATAATTAAATTTAGTTAATGGAGTATAGGATTAGATATTTAGTACCATCTATATGGAACAAAAATAAAAGTTTGTTACTAAAAGGGAAGGTAATAAAATGAGCTTCTCCAATGAGAAGTAAGGTACGGTGGAAACATTCAATGGTACACTTAAGTGGTGTCTAGCACTAGTTGCTGGTGTCTATGGCATAGTCCAACATCACTCTCCTCCCCCTCATGTACTACAGCGCTCACGGTGGAGGAAGACCCTATTCCATAGGAATTTCTGCACAGTGTTTGCCGCTTTTCCTTGCTCGGCACAAGTTTTTTCCCTCACAACATACCAAAGCTTCCGTAAGTTACAAGTAGTAACTATGGCCTCTTATTGCCAATTGTACTTTTATTGAAATTCTATTTCTTCTATTTACTCCATGACAGTTGATGAGGATAAAAGATACCACAGTTTACGATACGTTTATCTTACAGTTTGACAAGTTTTGTTGTGTAAGAAAGACAACAGTATTTTACAGCCGCAGAATGTTATTGTACACTCAATTTGAATGTTCCTATTATTCTAAAGCTGCCTGGCTAAAACATATAAATAGTATATCTAATTCACAAGTGTATATCCATGGTCACAGATACGACTCAAAATTCAATTCTCACTTCACCGGTTACCATTTCACAGATAATATTTTATAATATCTTAAAAGATCCAGTTAGTGAAACCAAAATGTAATAAATAAATATCTTTGGTTCATACAGAAAGATTCATACATATACAATTTTGATCTACAGTACGGTCCACAAGCGTCTGCAGTTGAGGGAGGAGACTAGTTATTTACCACGTGAATTCGAAGGAGCCGATGAGGGTCGCACGTTGTTGCCGAATCTAATAATACCAGCTGATTTGAAAATATTGTTTAGTATATTTTAATTAGTGTCGAAAATTAGTGAACTAGCAATGTTGCAGCGTTGCACTAGCCTTGGCTTGTGATTGGCTGCCGCCAACTGCAGACTCTTGTGGTCCCCACTTTAATAGTATTTTTTGCCTTTGGCAATCATTAAAATGAAAAATTTAATCAGTCCCGGGTCTAGGTCTTGCTGTGTCACCTACCCTAATAGCTTCTTCCCTATAGAGAAATTCGCTAAACTTAGAAGAACAATCAGCTAAACAGTTTTAACAGCTTGCACAGATATTGCTATTTTGTTTTCAGCAATCTAGGAAGCATAGTACTGTATTAAGTCTTACCAACAAATTTTATGAGTATTTTTTCTTCAAAAATAGGTTTGATATGAGTATTTATCATACTAATTATTATTTTTACTAGTAAGAATGATTTTGTACTACCATACTACATTTCTATAACAGCTGCTCCCACTTTACCAAAAAAAGACATATTTATAATTAACAAAAATAGCACATTAAATACATTGATCAGAATGTTTATTCTAACTAACGATTTTGTTATAGATTTGGAAATTTATTTGTAAATTTTCTTCTCTTAATATTTAAGTTAACTAATATGGCAAAGTGTAATTTATAGAACTTATACAGATTTAGTTTTGTGATTGTTAAAAAAATGTAGGTTAGAACACTAATATTGTATTGTAACCATTTTCAAATCTTTAAAATTTTATTCTAAAACAATAACAATGGTAAAATTCCCTTCTCAAAATGTTATTTATAGCAAAATAAAACAGGATTTGAATCAAATACTTTGTATAACAATCTTCATTATAAAAATAGACTGGCCAGGACGTGCTCCCCTCTATTTGAAACATAAATTTTTATCACTTAATTTTAAAAACTCCCTAATTATTATTTCAGATTTAGTTGTTGTGTCAGCATACTTCATGACACTTTTTTTTAGTTATGTAAATTATTTCCTTTCCTAAGTTCATATACAATAAATACTTGTGTGTTTTAGATTTGTTCACAAGTTTCAAAAAAGTAATTTAACGAACTACAACTCTATTTACGAATTTCTACATCTCTATATTTACTATCTACAACTCTAATACAATAACACCAAATCAAGATATACTTAAATCATAGAGTATCAAAAGTAAACAATATACAAAATATATACGATAGTGATAACATGGTCGTAAAAATTATAAAAGTAACAAAGATCATAAAAACTTAATGTGTACAAACCAAAATTAATAATAACAATTAACAAGCTCGATATTCTAGTAAAACATACGTTTTTTTGAGTTGCACAAATAATAGATTACAAATATACATCATTGCATTTAACAACTATTGCAGCTCAAACAATTTTTATAATGTAACCTTAACCTTGTACTATTTTCTGCATATAATTTACTTAGTGGTAAAGCAATATCAATAGTACAATAGAATCCCGGTTAACCGAAATAAAGGGGGGGAGAGCCGTTTTGGATAACCAAAAAATGCCGACAATATAGACAATGTATCACCCCAGTGTGTAGGAAAAATGAATTTAAGTCTATATAATTCAGTGTTTTATTTCAGCTACAAAAATGTTACAATGGGATAGAAAATACTTTAAACCAGACAACTGAAGTTATGAAAGCATTTTACAGCCCTATATTATTTTATATAGCCATTTCGGTTAACCCGGGTTTTGGTTAACCCAAATTAGGTTAACAGGGGTTCTACTGTAGCTCTACAAGAAAAAAACCGGTTTTAAGATTATTTCTACATAACAACTGTCCAATTATACTACATAATATTAAGACAGAATATTAAAATGACAGACTATTAATATGGTCATACAGACAAATGAAAATATAAAATATTAAATTTAATGTTGACTGATTTTATAGCTATTTGCAAATAAAGCTATTAGCTCAGTAATTAATAATTTATCTTATTTACGACTACCAATATTTAATCCTTGACTAAAGAGCCTTTGGATGTATCATCGACAGATCAGGTTAAAAAGTCAAGCATAGTGTTGCTGACTCATAGATATCTTTTGGTAATAGTATATTACGTTACTAGTCTGAAAATACATGTTTGGGATTACCATACGAGTCCAGTAAACACATTTTGGATGAGTGACGTACGATATTTTACGCCATACTACTAAATCCGTAAAAGTCCTTATATATTACCACCAACTAAAGGACTAACAATCACTAGTCATAGCCTCTAAGAGAGGTTATGTTTTTGTTTATAAACTAACCACTCTCACTCATTGCCAAATACAGTATATAATCAGCTGGTTGGTGTCCGGTAAAACTCCTTACAGTACAGTAGTACGTAATGAAACCCCATTTGATTAAGCTGACGGCAAACAGCTGTTTTCTGGACTAAATCCTTGCGTGGGAAGTTCGTTAAAACAGTGTAGTGTGGCGTAAAATATCCATACATCAGTTAACCATTTTTGGCAAACGTTGTGGTTAATTTATTACAACTCAATTTTAATGTGAGAATACTATCTGCTGAAACATTTTGAGTAATTACCATAACACATTTCAGTTAAATATTATTTTAACTTTAGAAACTTTCCTTAAAGAAAAAATCACTATGCACAGTTATTTATAATTAAGTCCTGCATACACAATATCAAAAAGCATACATGCATTCAAGGATTAATAAAGCATGGTTTGCATGACAATCGTACAAATTACATCACAGCTGGGGAAAGGAAATTATGAAGAAAGGAAATACATTTTTGCTATCAAAATGCTTAAGAATCATTCAAACACGATGATTCTAAGATTAAGGAATTGTAGATCGTAGAGGATAAGCCAAATTTTTTATATGGCTATTGCTTAAAAATATCTATTATCTATCTACGAATAAATCAAAGTTAAATCTTGCAATCAAAATATATTACACTCTATTTCGGAAACCGAGTAAAATTTCAAAAAGAGCAAAAGCAAAAAAAAAAATTAAAATATAAGAAGGAACTATTAAAATTATATATTTTACCTAATTGTTACAGTACTTATTTTATAAACAATCCCTATAATGACATTTAGTTTAGTATGATAAATGCAGTCTTACAATCATCTATAAGGCAAGGTCCAGCCGTTGAGCTGTAGAATGATGGCTTGAAATCACAATGATGTAGAGAACGTACTTAAGAACTCTTCCAGAGATCTTCATCTCATTCTTGAGCTTAAAAAAGAGAAAGAGATTTATATAACCAAAACAAAAAAACAGATATATTTAAACAATGGCAGCAGAGATTGCTATTTTAATAAACGGTGGTCTTAAAGCTAAATGTAATGGTCCAACAGTTTTTTAAGAGCTTGACAGCCTTTTTTAACCTTGCATTTGCCTGTCCACATAGGATGTGGAACGTATCCAGCAAAGCAAGGGGTGAGCCGGTACAGTACATTAACGAACTGTACTTAGGATAAAAAGTAGTAGCAGTTACAAGGATCTGAACCCACGACATTGTTCGCTTGGTCCAAAGTCCGTGAAGCTACCAACTGAGCCACCGACTCACCTGATTATTATAGTTTTAATTAATTTATCACATTTTTGTAAGGAAATCTTTCAAAGTCAGGAACCCTATAAAATTAAATTAATAAGTTACTAGAGGACCCATGCTGCTCTGCAGCTTTAAAATATATATAATATCCGAGAAATAATTAAATTTATGATTTATGATTGAGTATACAGTATCTTGAGCTTAACTGTTTCAAACGATCGATCTAATTTAAAGCCTATAATTTACTGATTATTTTGAGTCCAAGGGACCCGTGCTGCTCTTCTGCGTTAAAAGAAATATAATATCCGAGAAATAATCAAATTTATGAGATAAAAAACATATGAAAAAGAATTTTTATGTTGGTTTTTCACCTTGCGTTTGCTTGAAACTCGTACCATTTTAATAAATAATAACTTAGATGAAAGCCAGTATTTCACTGAAAGTTCTTAGACTAAAATATATATGATTATAAAATTATAACTGGTGAAAGTACATCTTAAATTAAAGCAAGAATTAGAAAATAAATCAAATTATGTGTTTTGGCCGAGTAGTACAGGAGGTAAATATTTGCCGATGCTTTATGAGAAAACTTGGTGTGCATACCTTCAATTTGAGACCTCAATCATAAAAATCGGTTGGGTAGAAGAGCCAAACGAATTCGAAAGAAAAACCAAATTAAACTCACATAAGAAATACATGGGGAGCCAATTTCGTTACGTGTAAGCCAGGTGGGACTATAGATAAATACATGCCGATGTTTGATGGTAAATCTGAGTGTGCATACCTTCAATTTGAGATCTCAATCATGAAAATCGGTCGGGTAGAAGAGCCAAAGGAACTCGGCAAAGAGAAACCAAAATTAACTCCCATAAGAAATATATGGGGAGCAAATTTTGTTTATGTATACACCGAGTGGGATTATAGATAAATATATGCCCATGGTTGATGGCAAGTCTGTACGTGCATACCTTTAATTGGAGACCTTAAACATGAAAATCGGTCGGGTAGAAGAGTCAAAAGAACTCGGCAATTAAAAGCCAAATTTAACTCCCATAAGAAATACATGGGGAGCAAATTTCGTCATCGTGTAAGCCGAGTGGGATTATAGATAAATACATGCCGATGCTTGATGGCAAATCTGAGCGTGCATACCTTCAATTCAAGATTTCAATCATGAAAATCGGTCGAGTAGAAAAGCCAAACGAACTCTGCAAAGAAAACCCAAATTTAACTCCCATAAGAAATACACGGGGAGCAAATTTTGTTTACGTATAAACCGAGTGGGATATAAATATATGCCGATGCTTGATGGCTAATCTGTGCGTGCATACCTTCAATTTGAGACCTCAATCATGAAAATCGGTCGGGTAGAATAGCCAAACAAACTCGGCAAAGAAAACCCAAATTTAACTCCCATAAGAAATACATGGGGAGCAAATTTCGTTTACGTATAAACCGAGTGAGACTATAAATAATTATATGCCGATGCTTGATGGCAAATCTGTGCATACCTTCAATTTGAGACCTCAATCATGAAAATCGGTCAGGTAGAAGAGCCAAACGTAGTCGGAAAAGAAAAACCAAGTTTTTTAAATATATAAGATAATGACGATTGTACACAGTTTTTCCAAAACCAACCAACCACACATAACTGGTATTTTACAAAGACCTGTTTATGTAACTTTCAGTTAAAACAACTTACTTTTTTCCAGCTAGTTCTGCTGCTTTGGTTAGTACTATCTGGATATCGGTTGATGGAAAATTCTAAAAACATAAATTAGATTATATTAATTATTTTATACAATTAATACTAACGGTATGGAAAAATACTATAGCGTAAAAAACAGGTTTATGCACAATGCTAAATCAAACACTGATAATAATTATTCTACCCAGTGTTTTAATATGGTAATTAATTCATTTATAGAATTAGAGGCACCAGAACTGCAATTCTCTGGAAACTATGATGCAATTAAGACATTGGATTGTACTTAACACTTTTACAACAATCACAAGCATTTTGAACAAATTAATCTTGATATTAGTTTTCCTAAGAAAATCCTTAAAAGATAGTAAACGTAATTTTCCTTGTAAATAGGGGATGAAAAGGAACACAGTTTAACTTTATTCTTCTTTAAACCAAGCAATACTTTGAAACGAAAAGAGGTTAATAAGCAATAAATAAATAGTACCTTATATTTGTAATTTTGTAAGAAAAAGAAAAAATACCTGTAAGATCTTCACGTTGGCAGGAAAATCACCGGACAGGAGCTGCTCTCGCAATATTCTGTGAAAATTAACAATGCCTTTAGATAAAAGTTCTTCGTTTGAATACTTAAAGCAAAAGCAATTTTAAATCTTGAAGTTAATTTTAACCATTAAAATGATATTATATTGCCTTGAGTCCTTGAGTGTGATTGTTACATATATTTTTAATTAGAATGGTTAAAATATATAACAAACAATAATTATGATACATAGTTGCAAGAATAATGTCAGTCTTATAATCCGTCAATTATCCTCAAAGATTTCCAGACAAAAAGGCAAATAAACTAGGTGTCTGCAGGCCAGGCATTTTTACTTCAGATTAAGTGTGGTCGGATAAAAGATTTTTGCCTTTGGGTGTCGGGCTTAAATTGGGTAGGGCTAAAATCAGGTTGCTTTATAAAGTATTAAAAAAAAAGATAACTGTAATACTAAAGTTAGTTTGTATGAAATTGTACACCATCTCCCACAACTGCAATGCAATCGTGATCACATCTCCCGCAGTCACGGCAGAATTGAGAACATATTTTGAGATCATAAGCTTCTTCTGCGGTCTCGCTGAAATCGTAAACATCTTCAAGTCTGCAGTCACTTAGACATCATCATTGTCTAACGATTGTGGCAAAATATTTGGTTTCTTATCGTAACTTCTCTTATCTTCACAGACTCTTTGTGCGATTGTGAAAATAAAAGTATGGTGAACTACTTAGTACTTTGTAAAGGCAATTAACATAAATAACCGCTTCGCCCAAAAACTAAATCTTGACCAAACCAATCCCTCAAGCCAACTGTTGGCCTAACCACCCACCCCAAAATATGGGAGGCCCACAGACCCCTAAAATCAACCAACAGTAAGTGGCACTAGTTATTCACCACTTGTGACATATTGTAGGTTGGTTATTGTTGTCTGAATTTTCAATTCTTCCCACTTTTGTTATGGGACTCTGAACTATTGCAAGATCAAACCTCAGAAAACAATCAACAGCTGTTTTATTAATTTTAAATTTAGTATACGATGAGCTGAAATGACAAATTACAATTATATTAAGTATCTTTTTTGTGTTACATTGCTACAGTCCATCTACAAAATTTAGGGGAGTGTTCCCTGGGTCCCAAACACCTTTTTTAGATCTATCAGCTGTCGGCTGTTGATTCAAAGTTAGGGTGAGGCAGATGGAATAGAGTATCTTCCCCTCAAACCGCCTACATTTTGTGATATATACACTATTTAGTTTAGCATTGTTCATGGTAAAACCATTACCGTGTGTAAAATATGACAGGAACACTTACATTATCATGGCACAGCAGATGTATATGAGGAATGAGAATCTGTGCGGATCAGCAAACAGAGAGTCCCAGATTCTGAGAACATCTGGTAGTGGAAACTCCTGAGAGAGCAGCAGAGTCAGCCACCTGGACAACAGTCAATTTTAACATACAGTGGAATATACACTTAATCTTTAATGTCCCACATTCCACATCCTAGGACGCTAGGTTCTAGCCCAGAACTGTTTTGCACACTTCGGTCTAGTCCTAGAGGGTTGCAGCATAATCACATAGATAAAATCCATTGGTGATTTGAACTTGAATTTGGCGGGATTTGAACCCGGAACCTTGGGCTCCGAAGCATCAAGCTCTACCACTAGACTATCTCGCTCCCCAGGAATATATACACTACCATAGCCTACCAGAAATAACACAATCCAATAGTCTTGGCATATGCAATCAGTCCCATCTACTTTGTTTTTAAAAATCTCATTCAGTTTGCATTGGAATCAAGACAAGAAATTTAGTGAATTTGCAGTAGTTGCTTAAGTGGTTGAACTGTGCTACACATGTTTTGAAGGTTCTGGTTAAAAAAAACCCCAATAACCCCAAATAACCCCAATTTGACCTTTCAGCTGTTTGTTAAGGACTTCAAGACCTATCTGGTCTACCTATTTAGGAAAAGAAAGGTTGGAATTCTCTGAATTTAATGATATTAAGGATAATCTACAACACCTTCTTGATAATAATCTACAGTTTACTATAAATCATCAAATATCATAATAGACATAGTTGATGACCACTGAAGTGCAAGACAATTACAGAATATGATGATGTAAGAGGTAGGCAAGACAGCTACGTCATACATATATTGACACAGTCATCATGAATGTCATCATCACCTGTCATGACTCAACTACTGTCAATACCACCTCAGTATGTGTCATGAACTCATGACCTCAGAATAGTTCATAATTTTCTCCAATAGATTTACAATTTTTAAACTTTTTGTCTTATTTTATTGAATTATTGATTAGCCTATATAAGTTTATTGGGGCGTCGACCACTATTGAAATCCATTGCTAGCTGACAAATGGTTCTGCAGAAAAGTGTACAGACAGAAAATGTGCTTAAGGGGTCTATGGAGTATGTAGAGGCCATAAACATTTACACAATAGTATTCAAATTACATTGATATAGTGATTAAAGTCTAAGAAACTTTTTTTTAGACTAACAGGGACGACTACCTGCAAACTCCGTCAGTTACATTTTGTACGTCCAATCACTGTACTTCAATCAAGCCCGTCAACTTGCAATGGACTTTAGCGGTTAATAACTGTCACCGAATACAAAGCTACAAAGTAATCCCAACGTGATTCATAGTGGGAACATTGTTTTCAACTACTATGACAAGACTAATCGTCACATAGGAATGGAAACCGGCTAGAATAGTAGTGGAGAAAGTAAGGATTTTTTGATTTTTTGCTGGTCCCAGATTTTTACTAGATCACTTGGTAAGGGGCCATATTAGGTAACACACTTTATTGTTATTTAAACCCCCCCCCCAACCTCCACCATGTAATTCACTGTAACGCTTGAGCAAACCCCCCCCCACCATTCTTGCTTAACGTAACTCGATTTGGCTTCCACCCATATTTCATTGACGTTAATTTGAGCTTCTTGTTTGCTGAGCTATTTGTTACGTAACGTTGGGCCAAACCCCCACCCCATACAACGTAGTGTAACGCTATGCCATACCCCCTCTCCCCCCCAAGTGCATTACGTAATATTTGTATGGCTCCTAAATGGGGCTGTGGATGAGACCTTAATTACCAGATTCAAAATCACTGGTAGAACCACAATGAAATCGGATTAGTTGGTACGTACAATTGCTGTAATAGAGTTTTGTAAGTCATTCGCACCTAAAGCTGTAGTACTGCGGACAGAGTTCTTGCTGTTGTAACCTCGTGTAAATCTTGTGGTCGTTGTTTTTCAGCTGATCACACAATCTCTTCATCAGTTGGTTGATGCCACATTCTGCTTCGTCCAACGACTTGATGAAGAAATCCCTTATTTCTCCCATCAGGTTTGTGAACACGAAAAAAGTATCAGCCTCAGCATGCTCTGAAACCAAAATGACTTGAGATAAGAAATGGATAATGGATAATGAGGTTATGCATAACTGACAATGACTTTTGGTAGGTAAGCCAAAAAAGAGATCGCAATGATTTTAATGGTAGGGTAGGATAGTCTGCCCTTAACTCTAAGAAATGTATTTCACATCAAAACCCATCCAGCAGCCAGTTTTTAACTTATTCCACGTAGGCCTCAGATGTGTGTGTTGGAACGTACAGAATGAATTAAACTGGTAATTATATTATTAGTGGCTGAAGGACCTGAACCGACAACATTACTGCCTTTCATTAATCCGCCACACTACCAACCAAGCCACCGACTTACCAAGAGTAGTGACAAATCCAGAGTTACAAATATGAGAGTCCACAGATTTTTCACAAGTATAAACCAGCCTAGGCAAGTTCACAGTGTTCCGAGACTAGCTAGACAAAATATGTTACTTTTAGTCTAAAATTATACTTTTAATACCTCAAAATTAATTCAAACAGCTGATTGGTCAAATAGTGCTTGCCTATATTTTGCCAGTTCAAGCCTGAGAAAAGTCAGTAGCTTTTTGATGGATCAAACTGGACTTAGCTGTTCCTGATCACTGGGCTTATGATAAATGGGCATGCCTAATGAAACAGCTGATCTTACTCGGTAATAAAGCTACACAAGGCATCACACTCCATTCTACACTCATGCTTCATTTATATTTGGGTTAAAGTACACCCTAGGAGCGTCCCATCTTAATTGAAAATGATAATGAAAATATTTCATGTTTGAGTACCTATTTACATTTTATAAAATTAATATTAGTTTCAGTAAACTTAGTTTGTAGAGTTGTGTTGATTTGTAGAGTATACATCTTTCATTCGTAGATAGTTTGAAATACACCTCGCTATTTCACAATACCCAATATAGTCATAAGTAATTCTTTTATGAAACTAATGTTGAAACTCAGTATTTTTATGAAGTACAAATATAATGGAATCAAAAGTTATAGCTTTGACATAGTGTTTGATTTGGATATGTGGTTTTATTTAAAGTAGCACACAGAAATGTCACCACATGGCTACTATGTTGATAAAACTATCAGTAATTTTGTGCTTGCTCACTGATAAGACCAGCAAACCTGATTATGCCAACGTACAAATAACAGAGGAATAATCTGTAGCCTAACCACTGAATATTAAAATGAAAATTTTATTTTTTAAACAAAAAAATTGGATTATTTATATACAGGATAGACAACTTGATGGGTGCAGCCATTGGTATCTCAGAAACTATTAGATTTAGAAGAAATGTTAAAAAGAGAACTTCGACTATTTTCTAAAGAAAATTAAATTAAAAGAATTTCACTTTTTCAAATACGGCTAGCTTAACTTAACTTAACTTACTATTATTGTCATAACAAAGTAGTCTAGAAACATGAGCTTTGAAAAAGTAAATCAGTCCGAGTCAAGGTCTTACCATGAGACCAACAGTAATAGCTTATTCCCTATAAGGAAATTTCGCTAAAAGCTCATTTTGAACCTTCAAGCTTATTTGAACCACTTTAGTAATCACTGTAGTTGAAACTTAACCAAATATGAACTTTTTTACATACCTCTCCATTCAGGTCTTGGGTCGCAGGCGAAGGCGTAGTAGATCGGCCCGATGATCTCGTTCATGCCCTGTACGTAGCTCTGGCCCGGGTTGAGTTTAGCGTAGAGAAACAAAAGTCTCTGCACCACTTCCCAGTGAGCTTCGGCACCCTCGTCTAGTGGAGCGTAGTCCTCCTGCGCCTTCTTGGTCGACAGTGCAATCTGTGGGCCAACATACAGATAGAACTATAAGAATGAATCTGCTATCTTATATTTAAAAACCTGTCTGTAGCCCAAATTTTTCATTAACAAAATACTGATCAGAATCGTAAATTGCTGTATTCGGTTGTTCGCAAGGTGTAACTGATTTTTTATACAGAAATAAGATTTTAAAACTTATAGTGAAGCATAAGACAACATGCATACCAATTAGAATGTAAAGTTAAGAACAAAAACTACTGAACTATTTATTTGTTTAACTAACTAGTAACTAACCTATTTAATTACCACATAGAATGAAACTATTTCTTATTTCATGCAATATTATTTTTTGTAAAAATATTAGCCTTTTGATATTATTGAGCGGAGCGAGCGAAGCTCTTATACTACACTCCTGCTTTTGTTTTACAAATACTCCTCCTGAACGACTGAAGCGATCTTCACGAAATTTAACACAGTCATAGTACCCAACCATGGGAAGGTATAAATCTGAAATGGTACAAATCGGACCATAGGAATTTTCCGTACATGAATGCAAACATGAAATTTAACATGGGCCTTATGGGTTAATTGGTTGCCATGACAATATTTGCGAGTAAACACTAAAAAGTAAACAAGAGCCTCGACATATGTTAGTCAACAAATCTACCACAATATAAATACAGTACAAAAAAAATCTGATGAATACTAAAGAGCATATTAGTTAATTGCATGTAATACGAATTGGTTATTAATATTTTTTGAAATTTTGAAAGTGGTTGACAATATATTTCTTACTTTTAACTGCTAAAATAAAACTAGACCTAAGTTATAGGTCTATACTTAAATGAATTGATAATTTTAAGAATCGATTAGCCTATCTCAATTATCCGTTGTTAGGAAATGATTAAAAACAAAAAGTTAATGTATTTATAAAAATGCATTCTTATCCCAAAATTAAATTATAAATGTCTCAGATAAAAAAAACTGATTAGTGAAGTTAAGAGAAAATAATATTCTAACAAAATCAGAAGCATAATTTTAAGGCCGCCGAGGAGATTCGAACATGGGATCTCAAATAATAATCGTAATTGCCTTTTAATAATGCAGGTATCGCATAGGTTTACCATGATTCATTCGCAGGATATAGAAATTATTGAGCAGAGCGTAGCGAAGCGAGCGAAGTTCTTATCATTGACTTTATAACTTCTCTTATACTACATTCCTGCTTTTGGTTAATAGCATTGAGCATAATTTACCACAAAATGAATAACCATAAGGGTTGCCAGAATTATAATTATAATCATAATTATAGTTATATAATTATATAATTATAATTATAGGCTAATGCACCATATTGCGTTTGGATACTGTAAATAACTGTATAATCCTGACTTATGATTGACTTTGGATACCTACTGCAAATAGGCATTCTATTTAAAATGCAAACCAAATATATCATTGACATTGAATTAATATGCTGGCTCCGCTCAATATTGCAAGCAGACAACTGCATTGTACACCTAGTTAGTTACATTTTTTAAAATGTAGAATCTGAACAAACTACAATTACAACAAATAATTACGTTTGATTAGTTAAAACTTACCTGCTAAAAGTTTCCATGCAAGTTGAAAAGAAAAGAAATGTGTTAAACTAGAAAGAAAATTGTTATGATAGCAATCTAAAAAATATCTTATGCATATGTTTTACATATTAGACACCAACAAAGAACGTTGAAATTATTAGGACATTTTGGATATATTTCCTAACTGTGTCTACAAATAAGTTGAATATTTTAAAGGAGTGTATTACAATTTTTGATTTAAGAGTTTTAAAAATGGAACTAGCAGCAAATATGCACTCAAAATCGGTAATGATTCTGATTCTGGTAGTGAAATACAGTACTTACATCAGGGACCAATTTAAATTATTTAACAATGCTTTACCGCTAAACCAAATGGCAGATAAAGAAGGTTGGAAATATTTTTGGGAAATGTACAGTAGGTAATCTAGTTTAATTAACAAAATTACAGTCTAAGAACTTAAAAACATAAAATAAAGCACAAAATAACAATAATTTTTCATCTTAACCCTAGATGGGTATCGCAGGTAAAGTTGATGTAGGGCGATTTATTTTTAGCGTCCCACCCCCCAACCCCTCAACCGACACTATCCTCCTTCCAGTAGTACTCTCAGCAGTCATTCGCCTTGTGATATGTCCTTACTAGTCGGTTTCATTAAACGCATACGTTTAACTTACGTGTCAATACCCTATGTGTATAGTAAAATGGCCGGCATTTTGTCAAATTTACTTATTGGTACCCTAAGCATCACACTGTACGACGATACCTTACTGTATGCAATTCCTATGTTCGTCAAATTTACGTATTGGTACCCTTAGCGTCACACTGTACAACGATACCTTACTGTATGCAATTCCTATGTTCGTCAAATTTACGTATAGATACCCTTAGCGTCACACTGTACGACAATACCTTACTGTATGCAATTCCTATGTTCATCAAATTTACGTATGGTACCCTTAGCGTCACACTGTACGACGATACCTTACTGTATGCAATTCCTATGTTCGTCAAATTTACGTATTGGTACCCTTAGCGTCACACTGTACAACGATACCTTACTGTATGCAATTCCTATGTTCGTCAAATTTACGTATAGATACCCTTAGCGTCACACTGTACGACAATACCTTACTGTATGCAATTCCTATGTTCATCAAATTTACGTATGGTACCCTTAGCGTCACACTGTACGACGATACCTTACTGTATGCAATTCCTATGTTCGTCAAATTTACGTATTGGTACCCTTAGCGTCACACTGTACGACGATACCTTACTGTATGCAATTCCTATGTTCGTCAAATTTACGTATAGATACCCTTAGCGTCATACTGTATGACGATACCTTTCCAGCGTTAACTTTCATACGTATGTCTGTAAATCAAGGTGTCCATCGAGCTCATTTCGCAACTAAGTAAGATAGTTCAAATCTGAGACCTATGTTTTATTCCTTTCTTCACTACTGTTCTAGCTGATTCCCTGATGTAAGAATTTTATTTTATTCTTAAATTCACTTATGTTTTTTTTCTTCCTTTAAATATTTGTGTACATATTCTGTATATACTTTGTTGGAATAAAGAAATAATTCATTCATTCATTCATTCATCCCTATTGCGGTTGACGACTGAGACCACAGGAATCTAATCGAAGAACATGATTTAAACTTGGCGGTAGCATCAATTTTCTTTTACAATGTTGTTTAATAGCTCAGCTCAATGAATAGGTCTACATTAATTTACGTACAGCCCTCGTACTTTCTGAAATGTCTTACAACTCACTAGAAAGATATATTAGTGTTATGAGGCCTTTTTTCTAAATCTGCAAGCCTGTAGACTCCAATATTCTCAGGTAAGCTACCTTAAACCTAAGTTACCTCTTTCCAAATAAAAGTCTTAACAATACCAGTACTAAGTAGGCCTAATTAACCAAAATCAACTTACCCTGGTGATGCCCAATCCTTTCCGTTCTACATTGGCAGATTTAAGCACAGAATGTTCGACTCTACGATGAAGTCTTTTACTACCCCCGCTGTTCACAACAGCTTTGCAGGGGAATTCTGTTGCTTGTTGGAAAAATGATATATCAGGACAGAGTCGTCTGAAAAAATATAACTTGACCTTAGTTGATTGACCTTTGGAAAATTAAAATAATAATATATAATACTAGCTGAACCCGGCAGACGTTGTCTTGCCTTTGACTATTTATAATCCCGCGGGCTTTGCCCCGTTTAACTTCTTAATTTTCAAGATGATCTCGTTCGCATGGCTCAATCACGTCCTGGTTGAAGTTCGTTCGCTACGTTCACTCACCTTTAGGTTGGAGCTCGTTCGCTACGCTCACTCACCTTTAGGTTGGAGCTCGTTCGCTACGCTCGCTCACCTTTAGGTTGGAGCTCGTTCGCTGCGCTCACTTGCCTTCAGGTTAGCTCGTTCGCTACGCTAACTCGCCTCCAGGTTGAAGTTCGTTCGCTACGCTCACTCACCTTTTGTTTGCGAATTAGCTGTTGTCATATATTAAAAGAAATAATAGTGCTGCACCCTGTTGGTAATCCTTGTAACTTTAATGCTATATTGAACATCATAGAACAGAACCAACTTGTTTAATTGAAACAGCTGTTAAGATTCTTCAGTAATTCCATTTCTCATAAGGTTAACATGGGAAACTCCAGAGCCACTGGGGCGGAGCCGATTGGACGGATCACGAAATTGATGGTGTATAAACCTATTCCATGACATTCTACACTTATGTACCAAGTTTCGTGGCAATCGGTTCAGCGGTGTCTGAGTTTATCACTGCCAAACAAACAAACATACAAACATCCTCTTTTATACTTATAGACTAACTAGCTGACCCGGCGAACTTCGTATCGCCTAAGTTATAGGTTTCCCCTAAGACAGACCGATGGAAAGAAAGTACCGTTACGTTTAATTTTCAAGATGATCTCGTTCGCATCGCTCAATCACGTCCTGGTTGAAGTTCGTTCGCTACGCTCACTCACCTTTGGGTTGGAGCTCGTTCGCTACGCTCACTCGCCTCCAGGTTGAAGTTCGTTCGCTACGCTCACTCACCTTTTGGTTGCAAATTAGCTGTTGTCATAATTGTAAAAGAAATAATAGTGCTGCACCCTGTTGGTAATCCTTGTAACTTTAATGCTATTGAACATCATAGAACAGAACCAGCTTGTTTAATTGAAACAGCTGTTAAGATTTATTAATTCCATTTCTCATAAGGTTAACATGGGAAACTCCAGAGCCACTGGGGCGGAGCCCTTTTAAGAATTTCGAAACGGGAAATAGTTTACGTCCGATTCGCATACCTACAGAATTTACACACCAAATTTCATAACGATCGGTGAAGTCGTTCCGGAGGAGTTTGCAGACAAACACTGTGACACGAGAATTTTATATATTAGACTAGGCTACTAAGTAAGTTTTAGATACATCGATCGCTTAGGACTATTATCTAAAGATTTGTTAGGTAGGTAGTATAAAAATGGATTAGTTTTAAACAATTTCTTTGCTATCTAAAGTACGATACTGTAGTGTATAGTGAACATACATTTTGCAATCAGAGAAATGTCATAGCTCTGTATAAGGTTTTGATATTTAGCGCTAAGAATTTGATAACAATATCCCACATCACCTTCCACAGAAAAATATCCGCTTTTTTCAATGTTAGTACATTTGTTCGATTCAAACTCATTTACAAAAACATTTGATGTCATTTTAAATCATATAAATATAAAGTGGTCATTTTCATTTTAGGTACACATACAATACAAATACAAACTTTTTTCAATCTAGGTCCAAGGTTTGCAGCCAAAGCTTATTCATAAGAATCAAAAATTCATGGTTTTAACTATCTCATTGTTTGCAAGGGTTTGTGAAAGAGTAAATTACCTGACATCCTTATCAATCTGCAACAGAACTTCGTTATCCTTAAAAAACGTTTGCCATTGACTGTCGGGGCTGAAGTTTAAGGGATGGTCGGCCATCGTACAATCTCCAGCCTCGCCACAATCCCCAGGGTTGACAATCATCTCATCTAAAAAAAGGTTAAGAGAGCTAGGTTTAAGAACTGCTGTTCTTTTATTCCCTACCTTTACATTCTAGGACGATAGACTTTCGCCCAAAACCATTTTACACACTTCAGTTTAAGCGTAATGGTTGCGGCGTTATCACATAGGCTAGCAACAAGTTATTCGTGATTACTGGGATTTCAACCCGAAACCATGTGTATCAATGCCCAGCGCTCTACCACTGAACCAGCTCTCGGGACTAAAGTTTATACTAAATTAGATCACTTATTTATTTCCAAACATTCATTAAAATTACTTTAAGTTTCAAATAATAAATGTTATTTATTTTAACTTGGTAACGTAGGGTATTGTATATTGACAAAGTAAAAAAAAACAATACAATATATTCCCTCTTGTTTGGATCTGATTGTTTTGAATTTCAGATTGTTCTGTTCACTACCTACTAGCACATGTATTGCTTTATCCATAGTTGTGTACATTATCAACTCGTAACCTGTAGGTCTAGAGCTGTTCAGTATTTACAATTTTATGTATAGTACCGTGCTATAAGATTAGGCTGTGGACCTCAGAAATTGATTTAAAAGAAGGATGATTGTATAGACCAGTTGCTTAGTTCAAGACAAATTTGTAATAATTGCTTTCAGTACTAAATTGTAATTTCATACAAAACTTACAAAAACCACGACATTCCACAACATTCACAATAATAACCTAGGACAACACAAATATAGAAAAGCCTACCTATGAACTGTTTGTAGAGTTCTCTTTTCCGAGCCAGTGTTTCACTCCATGAAGCTCTATTCAAAGGGAGATAATTGAGCAAGAGACGCCAACTAACAGCCCGATGACCAGCCTCGTCCGGACAGCCTGGACAAACTTCTCTGTTAGTTTCTCTCATAAAAGTGCTAAGTTTCTGTACTGTACAGGGTAACAGAGAAGTTAAAGGGATGTCGATCAAAACTGGTTTGTTCCTAAGAAGGTTTGATATTGAGCCTAGTAAAACGCAGGGAGTGAGGCGAAACCAGTCGCCCGCACTAATAGTCGAACAGTGAATTTTGACTTGTTATTATCTAATGTTATCAAACCGTACCCTACACTTAACTCTACTTTTCTACTTTATTTTTAAAATCACAAACAAATTGTTTGAACTATTGCATAAAAATCTTCCATGAGTCATTGACTTTGGAACACAACCAAAAATAGTATTTACAGTACTAGCATATTCATTTAAGGCATCAAGAATAAACAACACAAAATGCTGATTTAAGTCATAACAGCTAGGTAGCTAAATTGGAACTTATCTCAGACTGATAATATAGCCCATATATTATATAGGATTAAGAAATGAAACTATTCTAAACTAATCTAACATAATCTTATATGGTTGACCAAAACAAGCTTAGTTCTAGGTGTGATCTATGCTTGCTTATATTAAATAAAGATTAAACTTAGGTCTATTTTCATTTGACATGGGTCATACTTTACACTTTAAGGTAATAAAAGAGTGGTTTACCGCTAAAGCATAAACTCCTAAGTTTTTCAATATTAATCTCCTCACTGCTTAGAAGTTCTTCAAAATCTTTTAACCTGAAACAATAACTTGTGTAAGTTTACGCAATTTATACATCAGTTTTCTGGACAGAACCAGGTTTTTGATCGTGTTGTGAAAAAGTGTACCTAACAACTTTTAACTCCCCTTCATAGCCTATTGGTCTGCAGGGCTCCCACACAAGCATGAAAATACAAAACATGCCTTTCTTAGGTAATGATGACAAAGTTCAGGAGGGTTTTAGGCCAGGTACAAAAAGTCACAAGTGTAGTGGCAAAATCAAAGTCGGCATCTCAAAGTAGCATAGCAAGCCTCAAGGACAAACAGAACAGTTCATACTTAAGCAAGCTGTGGTATCCCTGCTTATGAAGTTAGTGGTACGTTAACTTGAAAATTTTTTCGTCACAAGGTGGGAAGAAGTACCTGCACCTGACAAGAGGGCAGAACATAATATCTAACTTAACTCCATTCTAATTAGCCTGATTGTTACGGTACTATTGATGTAGAAGTTTGGTTTTTCGTAAAGTTATTGACCCAATCAATACTTTGATGTCCAATAATACAATGGTTTCAGTTATCGAAATTTCACCGATAATAGTCTTGTTCTTACACGTATCGCAACAAATATTGCGGGATTAATAAACAATTCCACTGATGCCAAATATTGTAAAATCTATCGTTATAGGCCAAGTTACGGGTACAGTTTCTTAACTGGGCTATGCTAATATCGATTGAAACTATCAAATTAAAAATATTGATTAATAATCGATAATTTGGTAAAACTGAACTTATACTACTTATGTTATATTGAATTTTTTTTTTCATTATATACCTAAATAAGACTATTTTAAGCACTTTTTACCATTGGCACTTTTGGGGGAAACACCTATTTCACCCTGAAAATCGTGTTTGAAAATCAAGAAAAATGCTAGAAATCGGCGATTTTAGACTCATGTAAAACTTTTTGGGTACAATTTCTTAACTGGACTAGCTTATGCTAATATCTATTGAAACTATCAAATTTAAAATATTGTTTAATAATCGATATATTTACCAGCTAAGTATATCAGTTATAAAATTAAACTATCATAACCTAACCTAACCAAACAAACTTGCTGATGGTGAAAACATTGAGAATGAAGGTTTACTAATAATCGGTATTATCATAGCTAAGTTAAGAAACTGTAGGCCTACCCAACTTCTTTTTACTTTGTGTCAATAACTTAATACTAACCTAACCTAACTTAACCAGGGTTTACCCAAAATCGGTCATTTTGGCATTTGGCACATTGTTAATCTAAGCATGGGTTTGGTTGGGTTGGGTTAGGTTAGGTAAAGTTTTTTTGGTTTACCCAAAAATGGGATAATTTTTGGTACCGGTACCGTAAGTTACTTAAGATTTTTCAAACCTGGTTTCCTGGGTAAAAACGGCATTTGCCAAAAATGTGTTAAAAATGGACTAATAATTAAAAAAAACCCCACCCTAAGTTAAAAAGAAAATTATCAAGCCCCAAAAATCATTAATTTCTAGCATTTTTCTTGATTTTCAAACGTGATTTTTAGGGTTTAAATAGGCGTTTGCCCCAAAAGTGCCAATGGTAAAAAGTGCTTAAAATAGTCTAATTTAGGTAGATAAGGCAAAAAATATTCAATCTATAAGTATAAAAGAGGATGTTTGTATATTTGTTTGTTTGGCAGTGATAAACTCAGACACCGCTGAACCGATTGCCACGAAACTTGGTACATACGTGTAGAATGTCATGGAATAGGTTTATACACCATCAATTTCGTGATCCGTCCAATCGGCTCCGCCCCAGTGGCTCTGGAGTTTCAAATGTTAACCTTATGAGAAATGGAATTACTGAATCTTAACAGCTGTTTCAATTAAACAAGTTGGTTCTGTTCTATGATGTTCAATAGCATTAAAGTTACAAGGATTACCAACAGGGTGCAGCACTATTATTTCTTTTACATTTATGACAACAGCTAATTTGCAACCAAAAGGTGAGTGAGCGTAGCGAACGAACTTCAACCTGGAGGCGAGTTAGCGTAGCGAACGAGCTAACCTGAAGGCAAGTGAGCGCAGCGAACGAGCTCCAACCTAAAGGTGAGTGAGCGTAGCGAACGAGCTCCAACCTAAAGGTGAGTGAGCGTAGCGAACGAACTTCAACCAGGACGTGATTGAGCCATGCGAACGAGATCATCTTGAAAATTAAGAAGTTAAACGGGGCAAAGCCCGCGGGATTATAAATAGTCAAAGGCAAGACAATGTCTGCCGGGTTCAGCTAGTATAACATAAGTTAAGTTTTATAAGTCCAGTTTTACCGATATTTTTAAATATATGTATTGTAAAATTAAACTATCATAACCTAACCCAACCAACCAAACTTGCTGATAGTGAAAAAATTGCATGAATGTTTAGGCCTAAATTAGGGCGGGTTCCTTAGGGTGGGTTCCTCGGTGTATTCATTGATAAAAACCTAAACTGGAGTGACCACATTGATTATCTCTGTAAAAAACTGTCGTCTGCGCAGTTTGTAATTAGGCGAATCAGAAATATTACAGATGAAGAAACAGCGTGGGTGGCCTATCACTCCCTATTCTCATCACACCTGAGATATGGAATAGCGGCGTGGGGATCAGCACCTATTAACAAGATTGACAAAGTCCTTATCCTTCGAAAGGAAACCATCAGAACAATACTGCGGCTGGATTATCAGGAACACTGCAAACCCTTCATTGTCCAAAATAATTCCTCACCGTTATTTCACTTCATATTCTGGAAACCATCATCCTGGCCATAAATTCCTCGCCCAGTCTCAGACAAGATAAACACAACTATAACACACGAAATAGGGCAAACATCGATCTTCCACAACACACACTCACAAAATTCAGCAACACCCCACTGTACACTGGCTCATATTTCTATAATTTACTGCCGGACTCTATAAAAGCCACTGACAAACACAACACATTTATTTACAAGCTTAAACAATATTTAATCAATAGGCCCTACTACACCACAGCAGAGTATATCGAGGAACACACTTTACAACACCTTAGATAACTTAACGGGGCTCACTTCGAGAACCAAACAGATGAATCTTGACGATTCCCCAATCACCCGATTGCGGAGAAGACTTCAGAAGTAAGTAAGTAAGAAGTAAGTAAGGCCTACTAATCGAATCGATAGTTTCAATCGATATTAGCATAGCCCAGTTAAGAAACTGTAGCCTAGGCTACCCCAAGTTACTTCCAATCTACTTTTAATTGAAATGACGACTTTATTCTTTCTTTTTCAGAAAAAGGAGCCCTTTCGTTCTCAGTGCATACCCTGGCAAGTCTACAAATATATTTCTTAAGTTTCAGAAATCAAATCACAAACCAATCTAGGCTACATAGGACTAGGCCTAGGCTAAAAAATGTAAACTATTATCCATCCAAATTCGATTTTAAGGTAAATTATTCAGGAAATTGTCTCAGTAACAAGCTTGTATCATTTAGTTTTCTAAATTATTTATTTTAGGCTACCATGGTAAAGACTTTCACACAAAATAAAGAATCTAAACAGTATAACTTGTTGACCAAACTAGACTAACCAGCCTTTGCTTGGACCTATTTACTTACTTTGTTTTGTAACTTGCCATATTTTTATCTTGATTTGAAAAAGTGTGTGTTTAATCCACCTTGCTCGATAAAATCAGATAGTCACATAAAGATACACTATACATACAGCACTCACTAAATTTTTAAAATACCATGAATATTTGAATATTTCTTTCAACTTTTGAACACCTGATCTGTGATCTGGATCTGACACTTCTATCTTCTATCGTATCGTATATCGGTCGGGTCTCGGGTCGGGATCGGCCAGTTTTTCTGTCTTTCTGTGTTTGTTTTGTGTGGTGGTTATTTTATCTTCATCTTGTCAGTTCAGCTGATGATTGTGAAAGTTCAGACCGTAAGATCTAGACAGTTAAGTGGTGAAGAGCAAACTCGAAGAGTCGATTTTATATGTATGATGATAGTTTATGTGTCGATTTTAGACAGTTTAATTATTATAGGTGTCTTACACGGGTTATTTTTAGATTTACATTCCCAAAAATGCTGATTCTGCTTATTAATAATGAGATGTAGCCTAATTTGAGAGGTTGTATTCAATTTCGAAGATTTAAAACGCTGGTAATATCATTGACTATATAACACTACTAGTGTTATATAGTCAATGGTAATATTTTTATGTAGGTATGGCTGTTTTCCATTTTTTTTTTAATTAATGAATGACCGAACGCAACTCTATTAATAATTTTCGCCGCTCCCTAAAAAACGTAAATAGAAGCATAGAGTTTGTTCTTATGTGTTTTTGGGGGGCGGGCTGTCCCTAACATAGTCGAAATAGCCTATTTCACTATAGACAGAATTATTGACCCACTGGTAACACAGTTTTCCCATAACAAGACTAATCCATTACTACTTAATATGTTACTTAATATTGTTTAAAGGATTTACGTTATATGTGTGATTGTGATAGGGGCTAAATCTAAATCTAAATTAAAGTATAGGTTTCTGTTTTAAGGGATGCAAAATCTGAGAGATCTTTCATATTTTTACAAAAAGATTGTCCACTAGGATTTAGATATAAATTTAAATTTGAGTACCGGCTTTTTATTATAAAAAAAAACAAGTGTTTATTATTTTCCCATGTTCGAATTGTACTATTTAAAAAAAATTATACTTATAATCTGATAAAAAAATTTATCACAAAGTAGAATATAAACAGTTTTCCGTTGAAAATTAAAGAAAAAAAGAAGCTAATTGCGGATATTCTGTTCTGGTTTTGGTACATATTTTAGTTACCCTGTATGTCTCTTTTGTGTATAAGAGGTTACTTACCTATAAGAGGTTTTATATTTGGATATTTTGTCCATTTGTGTCCACTGACTGCGATATTTTGAAACAAAAACCATGTAACCACCAATAAATAATTTAAGGTAAAACTCTTATTTATAGTGACGATACAACGTGGCCTTCCAATATAGTGTATTTTATCCGTAAACCAAAATCTATTGAGTAAGCAGACCACTTCAAAATTGAAATCTGTCACTTTTACTTTCACTCACTCACGCCACATCATCATCGTCATCATATCAACCCCACACCTGCCTGTTAACGATTGTTGCCAGGAGTATTGGATATTTGCCAAAATATCAATTATTTTAACTATTTGAGGAAATCATGATTTTTAATTAAAGGAATTTGTTACTGAAATAACTACAGGTTTTCTTTTCAACCCGTGACGTCACGTGAGTTGGCCCTTTTTCTGATTGCAGTTGTGCCTTTATGAACTTCTAACGATGAGCGCTCCGGAGACCCAACCGCGGAACATATTTAGAGGAGTTGTAAAACAGGTAAATTTTATTCAAGATTTTTGGGTTTTATTTATAGATCCAGTTTTTAATTGGTCTCATATAGCACTCTTCAACGTACACAACAAATTTATTGCTTTTCAGATGACAGCCATGCTGGCACGTTTTACCTCATGGCATGCAGAACATTTTAATCAAATTTGCTCGAAATAAAAGTTAATAGCCCGCTTAAAGTCTCAAATTATTGTTCAAACCATACTTCTCATCACCTTGATAAGAAATGTTCCCAATTAATTAAAAGTTTTCATTTAACTTATCTTCTCCTAACCTATTAGAATAAAATTGGTAATTTTTGGACTAATGGCTATGCTGACTACCATAAGCCTATTTTAAGTTAGTAGTTAGGATACTAAAATCAGATCTTCCACCTTTACTTAAAGCCGAGGCTTTTAATACAAGATTTAGCTACAAACGTAATTAACGTACGGTAATGAACTTAATTGCAGAAAAACTTTCCCCCCAGAGGTTTTGTATTAGGCTATGAATGTGTGTGTGGGGTAGACTTCCATATCTGTTGGCACAAACAACCGAATAAAAATATTGGTTATTCGATTGTTTCATTTGATTTATGGTTTGGTCAGTAGTGTTAGGTTAACCCTACTAACTAACCAAACGATATATCGATCAATATTTTCATTTGGTTGTTTGTGCCAACAGATATGGAAGTCTACCTGTGTGTGTACTTTAGATGTTTGGTCTATCAATGAAAGTTTACGTAGTCCTAAAGAGTCTAGGTAGTAAAAATCAGGGCATAAAAAACCAATAAAAATAAAACACCTTACTTAACCCCCCGCCCTCCCCCACATTACTCAAAAGAGTCACAGGTGGTGGTTTGCTCGCTGCAAATGCAGGTGTCTTATTAAGATGTAGGTAACTTACAGGGCTATGTCGACATGTCCTGAAATGATAACTCATTCACCATTTACCACCAGTAAGTTACTTCTCTCTACATTTTTAAGAACGGAAATTTCCAATTCTTACTGACCTAATGCTGACGGTTGATAGTTAGCCTAGTCCAGGCCTTTTTTAGTCTGTTGTTATGGACTTCATATAATTTTAAGTTACCATTGGCCCATGCAATCAGGTAAAATTCAAATCTTTGAGCTCAAAACAAGTTCCAGTTATAAAATATGATGCATTGGTGTCTCAGCCAAACTAGATTTTATTTTAGGCCTACTCTGTGCAACTGGCAATTTGTTTTGTAGCCTACAGTTATTTTCTGAGAAATAAGGTCCGAGTTAACGATATGTATGGTAGAGTGGGGGAATTGGGACCCATGTTTTTATATGTTTATTGTCAGAAAAAATCAAAATATGAGCATGCACAAGGTTTTCAACTGTAATTTGTCTTCTTATCACATGTTTTTAATTTTTTTTTAAATTTTACTATGAAAAAAAAAATAATAATTTGGAACCTATGCTTGGACCTATGCTTATAAACCCATAAGCACCTACTTAATATTAATTCGTGGGGGTAATAGGGTTCTAAAAATGAAAACATAATAGGCCTAAACAAAATGCAACAAACTTTATTGAAAAAAATTTTTTTAGGACATTACAACAGTTCAAACTATTTTTTCCAAAACATTACACATTTTTCTTAAAAAAATAGGAAAAATTAACCAGAGCAGATAACAGCCAGAAAATATAGATTTAAACTGTTAAAGAGATGTATAGCTAAATAAAAAAAAAACTACAAGTACCGTATATTTTATGTCGAACCTTTTTTCTGGTCATATGCAAACTTTCCGGAATTTCGCTTTTTCAGCCAAAAGAATTTCTAATAAATGGTAGTTATCAGTCCAAATATAAGTTAAAATAGGCCAATTATGGGCTTAACTCACTCTTTTAGGTCCTAGTTTCTTATCAATTGGTTGTAAAATAATTTTTTTACTTTTCTGTACACCTGTGATTCCAACCCGATGTAACCACGCGATGAGACTGGTTCCCAATTACTACTCCATGCTGGGGTAATTGGGACCTACTTCAAAATTCTCTTTTTACACCACCACTGCAGCCACATATAATTATTGATTAATTAGGCCTATATGTGGGATTAATTATAATATTAATATTAATTATATGTGGGATAACAAAATATGGGTCCCATTTCCCCACACCGGGGTAATTGGGACCCACTTTTTTTTAAATTTATAAATTATTTTTTTTTTTATTATTATTTTAAAGCCCTAACAAACTATTGCTTAAACCTGTAATGTGTCAAAAAATACATTTTGGTATGATTATTAATTATATAATATATAAAAAATAACTCAAAATACTACCACGCTTAAGTTTCGCCACATGTTTAACATTCGGAAAAAAACACGGCTTGATTTTTTTTTTTTATACATCGAACACAAGATTACAATTATCCAATAATTTGTGATGAAACCCCTTTAGAATGCCTAATCTTTAACGTATTTACAATTTTGTTTAAAAAATAAATAATACAAAATTTTAAAAAATAGCTCACAATTACCCCCGGGTCCCAATTCCCCCACTCTACCCTATTTTAGTATAATAAATACAGACTAGGCTATTTTCGCATACAGTAACTAATTGATGGGTTAAAACACTAATAACAATTCCTAAAATGCTTACGTAGCTTAGTTCATTAGGGCCTATAACTTAAACCTTACCTTCCTAATCCAGCTTAAAATTTCATAGCACTTTAAATAACAAAAAAATCCGCATAAAGCCTGACTTATCTTCCTTACATGCCTTTTCTGTCATCAAAAGGGTTTGAAAAGTTATAGAAGCTAGGTTAGGTTTAGTTAGGTTGGAACAGTTTCATTTTAGCGAATTTCCCTATATAGGGAAGTAGTTATTACCGTAGGTGGCATGGTAAGACCTGGAACTGGGGGCCCGATAAACTTTCTCAATTTGATTTCCCTAGAGGCCAAAAACACCATTCTTTCAAATTTTTATAATATATGTAGGGCCTATAATATATTTTACTTAAGGTGTTCACGCAATAGGGCTGCTGATATAGGTATTAAATTATAGTACTAGTAAATAAAGTACAACTGAGCACCCTGAATATTATTTAAAATATACAATCTTACTAATATTATAAATGTGAAAGTTTGTGTGTTTGTTTGTTTGTTTGTTTGTTTGTTTGAAGTTCAATCACGCATAAACCACTGGACGGATTGGGCTGAAATTTGGCATGATGATAGCTTACATTCTCGATTAACATATAGGCATATTCTTATCTCAAAAATCCTTTCGGGCTCCGCCCCAGTGGCTCTGTAATTCCCCATGTTAACCTTATGAGTATTCATATTTAAAGGGAATTAAAGAAATTAGTCAGCTGTTTCAACTAAAAAAGTTAG